CTGAATGGCATGTACTACACTAGTAACAATGGCAAGTACAATGGTGGCTATTATAGTGGTATGGAATGGTACCATTGGCATGGACATTATTATTCACTCAAAGAAACTACAATGAAAGTGCAACGAGTACATCCATGCTGGGATGATTAAAGAAATATAACTTTCACAAAAGACAAATTAACAACCCAAATGATACTTAACTCATAGCATATGGTCATTTATATTTGATTCCACTATAGCCCCTCACTAAATATTTTAGCGTCTACACTACAATAGTTCATATTTTACACATTAATGACACAGTCATTAGTAGTGTTCACACTAGACAAAGTACAGGCTAATATTTAAGCTGATTTAGGCTTATCTCACATGTTTGCATTTCGGCTGGACCCAATTGCGTCCACGCACTGGGAGGACAAGTCCTTAGCACGGGCCATCAGTCGGTGACCCTTGTTAAGCTGCTGTTTCGAAAAATCACATCATTTCTAATTTAGCTTGCATATCCTGGTAAGCATTTGTTCTGTTCAAGATTTCACTGTCTTTCTATATCCCAGTGGAGCTTTTGTCTCTTCATCGCTCCAGTTTTTGTGAGGGAACGAAGTTTCGTACACACTGAGCTTGGTTGTCATTTTGGAAATGAGAACGCTGCATATATTTGATCACATGCATAATATTCACATCCAAAGGTCGTCAAAGAGGGTGCTTAGCCCCGTGCTAAGCGTTCACGCTAAGGAACTTGACCTTTTAGCTCGTGCTAAGGAGCTGTGCGTGAACGCAACTAATATACTGTTATATAGGTCATCGCACTTGTTTACATTTTCCATGCATACATGAGCGCAGCGACTGCTTGGCAAGAACCGGTCTTTCACATCCAAAGATAAAACAATAGTGTTGCTTGCTGCTGTTGTTTTATATACACATGTATTTGTCCTTGTCAATAAAACAACTCACAGGCAACGTTGTCGCAACAGATCGCAAGTGCTGATCAGTAAGTGACATTTGTTATCAGACATTGGCATGCTGGTAAAGTAAAGGAATGACGTAACAGTATGTGTTTGTAGTCAATTAAACAACACAGAAGATGCCATGTCATTTAAAGTCACATGTTATTATTTTCTTACCATTTTCAATCACTCAAAGGCATGTTAAGCATTAATAAAATTATTATTATAAGAATTACTGCCAGTAATTCACTAGTGGATTTATCAGCAGTTTTTTTTAATATTATTCATGTTTAACATTTTTTCTTATGTACTTTTACATTTTATATTAAAGTGTTGTCTGGTTTCTTCATATCTATTATTTGTGGTGTATTAGTATTCACAAAACAAAACAAATGCCATTATGTACCAGTATTTCATATTTAGTATCTGACATATGTTATCATTCTGAGCATCTGGTGTGGAAATACATCCACGCTATCAACATCAAAAACTGTACCATACCCCTATCCCAAATTCAGCATTTATATTTTGTCAATTAATATCACCTACTATATCTTATATTTGGACATAGCTGTATGTCATTGCTGTACATTATCAGACCATAGTGTATTACTACTGCATTCCATCAACCCTGATTCAATCTGCATACAATTTTTAAGTTAAGTTTAGGACATAAAAATCAAAATCATATTAAGAATATACAAATTTTTTGGGGGCACATATTAATGAAAATTAACTTTTTATATTCTATAGAATTTATCAGTATATCTAATTCTTCTATGAGAATTAACAACCCACATTGTTGTGATGACTAAATTTGCACATTCCCAGTCAAATATGAACAAGTTTTAGTACATCTTTAAATGCTTACCTATTATCTACATTTTAAGACGTCAAAAAACTGGTCAGAAGTTTTTCAATCACACATTAATAAACAGAGCACTTTACACATGAAGCATGTATCAACTTAAAACACTTAGCGAATATTTCAAAAGAAAATAGGATGTACAGAAAATTTGATTTCTCAGTCAGATGGTATATATTACCGGATAAAGTGATTAAATTTTTGGCATAAACATTTACAAACCATTCATCATCACAGTCTGACATACACTATTGACACCAATTGCTTTCTCATAAAAAAGTTCCCATAAATAAGTTAACGTAGTTCCTGGTATGATCCAAACAAAATATCCTGTTTCTGCAAAAAGTCAAACAGTAAGCTAAACATGTGGGACTTAAGTACAAACATCTGGAAGCTGAGACAGACTCCATAGCCATGTTGTTGTTCTCATTCACTCTTCTATCGTTTTGTGGGTTTGTTACTTTACAGCAAGTATTAGATAGGAATCATGACTTTCAGACTCCTGGCGGAAATGTTTGTACTTATACGTTTATTGTACCACAAGGACAGGCCCAACAGAGATGTGAAAACACATCAAGCTTGGAACTTCAAAATAAACTAACTAGAGTGGAAAATATTCTATACAACGTGCGGTCAGCTATCAATCGACAGAATTCTGCAAGATATCCTCAAGGTAAACAATATTACATTCTAAAATAACAGAAATTCACCATTCAATATGATGTAGCGTTTTTTTTGTTTATTCGGTTTCTCATGTATTTTCTGCATTGTATATCAGTTGCCTTCATATACGGTAACTATGACTAAGAGAAAACAAAGTAAATCGGCAAACAAGACAAGATGTCATTTTAAATATCATAAGAAGACCCACTCTAACTTTTCTCTGACAATTGGTCAAATGGTTGAACTTGTTACCTTTGTATGGCTATTGTTTGCATGGGGGCAAAATTCTTCCTTCTACACAGGGATTCAATTTCAACTTTTGTGTGGGAAACAAATCAATAAAAAAGTCAGGTCTTGACGAAGGCCACGCAGGTGAATGCCGAGAAGTCCCTTGAGGCAACATATATATTCTTCACCATTTCAATCAGTCTGAGGCATTTTTTACAAATTTAGCCCTTGAAATTTAGGCACCCTCAGAAAACCTAAATGTAAGTCTTGCAAAGAAGTCACAAAAAAGTCTAGGTGTATCAAATGGTAAACGACGTACCAGGTTAGGACATGGTTACTTATGAGCTTTGTCACAAGTGCTAGGTACGAACAATATTACTCAAAACCAAATACATGTCAACTATGAAGCCATACAAAAATGATGTTTCTTGTATAGTTGCTATGGACATGATTCTGGTTGCAAGGGAACACACCTACCAATCATTTCTTATCAATGTTGCCAAAATTCTAAGAACGTATGTCAGACTAAAGTCAACAAATTGGTCTTGGTCATTTAATTAATTACCTTGCATAATAATTAGTAAATTAACAAAATAAATATAATAGGATGAGTGTACAACACAAAACCTCATAAAATAAAATCTCGTAACAGTTTCCAGAAATGCATACGAGTCAGCAGGCACTTTTGGCATACAAAACATTACAGTGATAACAGTAAATATATACAACTTGAACACGTTGAAATTTTACAGTTAATTGAATATTGTCAGATTCAAAAAATACAATAGCCACAGTGTTTTTTATAGAACAGAATCATTTTTCCTTTATTTCAGACTGTGAGCATGCATACATACTTAATGGTGATACTCTAGTAGAAGGGGTACATCTGATCCAACCTACAGATTACCCAGAACCATTCCCAGTCTACTGCCAAGTGACTGACACTGGAGTATGGACGGTTATACAGAGAAGACAAGATGGTTCGGTTAATTTCTTCAATGAATGGGAAACATACAAATACGGATTTGGTTACATAACCGGTGAACACTGGTTGGGAAACGAGAAAATTCATTATCTGGTTCGTGGAAGCAAATACAAGCTACAAATCGACCTAGAGGACTGGACTGAAACCACCAAATATGCGAAATATGATGCGTTTCAAATTGGCAGCGAAGCAACTAAATATCTTTTAATACTAGGAAAATATTCAGGTAATGCTGGTGACTCGTTGGGTTACCACAACCTACTTAAATTCAGTGCAAAAGACCAAGACAATGACGGTATCAGTTCCTATTGTTGTGCATGTACATCAGGTTCTAAGCGATACGGACGAGGTGGATGGTGGTATAAGTCCTGTCATCAAGCAAATTTAAATGGCATATACCATTCACAGACTAGTACTTATTCTACCAGCTATCAATATGGCATTGAATGGTATGCATGGCATGCACACAGAGTATCACTCAAAAAGACATTAATGAAGGTCCAAAGAGCACAGTCATGTTGGCTGTAGATAATCTTAAATACTTGTAATCAAATGTTTGTAATCTCACCAATAATGGTGTCTAGTTATAGGCGATATTCACATGTTAGTAGTTCAAGTTTCACTCATAAGAACAATACTAGCCCAACTATGAATGTTTTCAATGTGAGAGCGCCACCTAGAGCATGAAACATAGTTTTCAGTGCTTTTGTTTTTAATGTGATACATTCTTTGACAAGCTTGCAAAAATATTCATTTATCAGTTTTTTCGTGCTACCATTATCATAAGTTTTACACATTCTAGATATCCATTATAGGGATATGAGTAGTAGTCTTTAATACATGTGACATCAAGCCAAAATTACCTTTGTAGTAGAAAATGAGTAAACACATAGTGATATGTCATGTAACATGGAATATGATTAGATATATATTTATTTTTATCAAAAACAAATTCCAGCTGCTTGTGTGCTGTTATCCCATACATGTTCATTTGGTACCACAAAGGAATTACTCAGTATTACATGAATTATAAAATATGGGAAGACAAAAAAAAAAACTTATGCTCATTTCAAACAGCTGGTACTTATATACTGTATAACCATTTATTTTCATTGGCGTTTAATTTTACTGAGTTCTAAATTCACGGACTTGGTAGAGAAACAATGACTATTATTGTCAATTTAAATGTTCATGAGGATTTAATTTAGCATATTTTACTTATCAGCGAAAATACAAAATTAAAAAAAGCAAATGTTTAATACGTTTACAATAGTTTATCTTGTATTGTAGATGAGATCATGCAAATTGTACAAACCTTTGATGCATAATGTGGATTCTTCACATCCTCTTCATTTATTAAATTACAATAAATACTTTTTACTGGATACAATCTACCAGGGATGTTGATTATCTCACAGTCGTTGAAAAAAGCTGAGAACCTTCCAGCATCCAGCGTTGCAGACATAACAATTACCTTCAATGAGTATTTTCGCTTTGAGTTGATTTTGTTGTTGATAAATAGTTCTTTCATCAACCCAAACAAAATATCCTGCAAGAAAAAAAAAATCACATATGGAGATGTATCCTTGACTGCGGGCTGAAGTCATGTTTTTCAACTTCGTTGTGAAAGCCTATGGGGATCTTATGCGCTGAGGTACAGTTATTAAAACAAAACTGTCGCTGAGGAAAGCATGATGAAACCCACTGGTGAAACATGATTGGTTGATTTACTTTATTCTGTTGGTAACGTTGTGAGTTCAAATTTTAGAATACGGACACAAATATTTGTTTACATTGATTTCAAAATGTTTAGATCTGAAATGAACATGATTTTATTCAGCATATCATCACTAATATTTCATAGCGTTGTTCGTTTCACAACAGCCAGATGTTTTATGGTCATGAATAGAGCATAAACTACTGCAATATATTAACTATATGGGCGCATTAATTCTTCCCACCAACAATTAGTTGCAACATATTTCTATGCAATTTTCTGTCGTTTTTCCAATAAATTTAGACCAAGTGACCAGGTTCTGATTACAATTTTTTTGAGAAATTATAATGCATGTTTAATTTTGTGAATGGCGCTAAACGTTGACTGTATCGAAAGGTTTAAAGTGGAACATTCCAAGCCCAGGGTTTGCACCAAAGAATCATGGGACACTATTGTTCATGTTATTTGCAAAGTTAATCTATGCGCCCATAATATCATATCACGAAAAGGTCAAAAGGTTTTTCCTTGTGTTATTACGCTCGAGAAGAAGGGAACGACGATCGATTAATCAAGATTTCAAAGAGCAAGAAATCACCAAATTGTTAGATCGAACGAGACCAAGAAATTATCGGTTCATGTTCACGCTATTCGTGTGTATGACTAACGCAACAATAGACCCAGCAACCCGAGCGATTTGGACTTGACAATGCAGAAATAACTGGTGGGAAGAAATAGGATATCAGTAATCTAGTTTCTTCGACTGACCAGTTCGACATTCGACTTGTGACCTCTGATGCCATCTTGCGTAATGTCAAGCAAGTAATGTCAAAATAAGTCGGTGATAGAGCACGTTTGGCCGTCATATTGTATTCACACAGCACATTCTATTGTGCAAGAGCCAGTGTGACATCAGCGTTTAGGATCTGGTTCACCCCTTTTAGGATGATGTTGAAAACGCCAACGCCACAACAGCGTATTCTGTTCACACACATTTTAACAACGTTCTCAAATAAAAGGCGTTGGGACAACGGCTTATTTCGTCTAGTGAGAACACCACTTATGTGCGAGTTGATTCAATAAAGCAAATATAATCTGATTATGATGTGTTGACTCAGGGACACACAAAACATCAAAAAAAAAAACATGGAGTTTTCACGACAGACTAAGAAATATCAATACGCAAACAAGTGATTAGGTGGCATATAACAGCATTACAAAATTATATATTCTGACACATCAAATAAAGTAGTCTCAAAAATGTCGAAATAATATACAAGACATCGGTATTAACTGTTTTCGTCACTGTCTCATGAAATTAAAGCATTTTTAATACAATGCTTTCCATACATACCGTATCTAAACTTCTTTCATGAGCTTCATCCAAAACAATGACACTATATTTAGAAAGTTCTCTATCTTCTAAAAATTCTCGCAACAAACATCCATCAGTCATGTATTTTATCCTAGTTTCTGAAAATGAATCAGTACCATATGTTGAGTCTAAAGTGATTAAACATGCATGTTAAGGTGTGCCAAAGTGATGTGGATAATTTGCATATGAGGTGAGCGAGGTGGTGATCGATTATTTTGCCTTGATAATTTATTATTTTGATTCAATGAAATTCACACATAGTAGTTAGTAGAGTACTAGTAACTAGAAAAGCTCTGAGGAAAAAAGCTGCAGTAATGATTGTCAATAATAAATAAATTGATTTCAGTATTATATGTGCTCATAATGTAAAAAAAATATGCCGTCACTCTATAAACATTTGTAAAAATAAAGTACATGGCCCTTTACAGCCGTTCTGAGAATTATTCGGACAGTCAGTTAGCAATATATCTTGGAACTTTGCAAAACACTTGGGTTTTTCCAATCTAGACTTGATGGTGCCATTGTACTGGCACGCCCACAATTGGAATCATTCCATTATCTTGCAAGATGCGGGTGAAACGCAGTTTTCAAACGAGATGCGTTGGTTACAATATATTAACAGGTTATATGTTGTATATGCATTCAAAGTGCTATTGACTCCCGTGTGCGAAGCACAAAAGGGAGTCTTTGCAGTT